TATTAAGTTTTAAAATGCTAGTTTAAACATCTTTAACTGCAGATGTCACAGCCTTTAGCTTGTAAATACACGATGTGTTTTTCCTAACTCTTCCAATATAGTACACTTTGAGAAATACTGCCTTAAAAAAATATAGCTGTTTAGTTGGGAGTTTATTGTTTTTGCTTTTGTTCTGATTTTGGCTTTGGTTTTTTGAGACACTCTCACTACACAGCCCAGGCTGGCCTCAAACCCGAGGCCATCCTCCTGTCTCAGCCTCCTAAATGCTGAGATTTCAGGTATGTGTTACCATGCCCACCTTACAGCTGTGTTTTGTTTTGGGGTTTTTTTCTGGTACTGGGGATCGAACTCAGGACCTTGTGCTTGTGAGACAGGCGGTGGAACCACTGAGCTAAATCCCCAGCCCTTTACAGCAGTGTTTTAATTACTCTTAATACATTACATCTACCTCTAACTTGTATGTTAAAGATACAATCTTTGTATGCTTGAATTATATAAATTTGAAAGGAAATACTGAAATCTTAGTCTCATTTTATATGCAAAACTTGAAATATAAACTCCAAACACTGAAATGAATAGCCATCAAAAATCACAATCGCAAATTAAACTGTGTGTACTGTTCAGATGGCTCTATTCTTCTCAGAACCACTGTGTGATTCTGCAGACTCCACGTTATCCAAGATCTTCAAAAGCATTTCCTAGCCACAAATGCAACATTTATAAAAACAAAAGGATCTGTATACAGAGTACCCTCAAGTTATGACTGGCCTGACATACAAACAACTTGGGTTATGACTAGAATTTTAGCTTTAACTTATGACCAAAGTCTTGAGTTAAGACTCAAATGCTGGTGGTTTGTGCTTCCAGATGGTCTCAGGTACAGATTTAACCCTTAAGGAGTTCTAGGACCATTACAGCATCCTTTCCTGTGCGGGGTTCATTTAGTGGGCCAATGTCTCTCTGGGGACACCAAGATCTGTCTACAGAGACTTTGAAGGATGTGTAGAGGAGCCTGGGCATTCACTGACTAACTTGGGTTACAACCAGCCCTCTGGAATGAATTGAATTTGTTAAATCAAGGGTCCACTGTAACTCTGTGTGCACTAGACACAATTTTATCATTAACACATCACCTCTCTAAAGAACTTTCAAATAACAAATGGATCTCCAGTCTAATCTTAGCCAAGGTTTGACAGAAATTCTGACAAAATTAAAAGTCAATCTCTGGGAACTGGGGATTTAGCAGTGGCGTCACCCTTGCCTTGCAAGCGCAAGGTCCTAAATTCGATCCCTACTACCAGAAAAAAGAAATGTCAAGCTTTACCCCAGAATCCTGACCAAGTTTTTGAAATATTAACTCCCACCGAAATGGCCCAGAGTTTCTTGAAGAAATGCTTGGTTCCAGATCTGGGGCTGAAGCCAGGCCTGGTGACACACTCCCATAATCTCAGCACTTGAGAGGCTGAGGCAGGAGATTGCTGCAAATTTGAGAGCAGAGGGGGCTATATAGTTCAGGGTCAGCCTGGACCACATAGTGAAACCCTGTCTCAAAAAACAAAACACAACTACAAAAACAAACCTGGGCCTTGAAAAATCTTGCCATATTAGGTATCAAGAAAGTTAGCAAACACTACTAGGGACAAAAGGACTCAAGATCCAACCTGAAGAATCTCCCACATCCAATCTGAGCACCAATGATAATAAAACAAGGGGTTGAAACTCCAATGTTCATTTAACAACACCCAAAGTGGAGCTGGGAGGGAAAGACAGAGGAAGGGTGGCTAGTTGGTTCTATGTCACCACAGGATGCTTGTGAATCAACCCATTTCTTAATGACCTATAACTAAGAAGAGACTCAGCCATTTATCTTGCCTGTATAAACTAACATTAATTAAACGTCAGCCACTCATGTTTTCTAAATAGTATGAAAGCAGAAACAGAGTATCACCACACAAAACTTTAAGTGAACTAACAGACCTAAGTCACATTTTCTCCACCTCAACTTTCTTGATATCTTGAGCCTGTCTCTTGTCACAGGGGCTACCCTATACACAGTGGAAGTTAAGCAGCATCTTTCCACTAAATGGCCTCTATCCACAACACTGGTGATTGCAGCACTCCTCCCCAGCACTCAGCTGAAACAGCCCACACTGCCCAGGGAGAAGTGACTGCTCCTACACAGGCCGACTCACCCAGACGCTGCACATCATAGCCACTCATTTCAAAAGACAATAAATAAACCCAGGCGCATATGTCACACCCACAAAGGAGCCTTGCCCCATACCTATCCTCAGCACACACAATCTGATCAAGCCTCTAGATCCAACTTCCAATTACAGGAAAGACCAAGGGCAGAGAAAAAAATGACACCAGGAAAGTACAATCAGCAAAAGTTTGGTGTGTGAGCGAGTCCATGGGCAAGCCCCACTAGTTCTGCAAGAGAAAAAAGTAAGATCTAAGAAACAAGGCAGGCACTCTGGTGATGTGCACCTCCTGGCCCAGCTATACAGAAGGTTGAGGCCAGGATCCCCTGAGCCCAGCAGCTCAAGACCAGCCCGGGAGTCACAGCAAGACCCTGTCTCCAAACAAAGCAGAACGAAGCAAAACAAAAAGAGAACAGAACAAAAGAGAATTTAAGAAATGTATCAGCCATACCATTTGTATTTTATTTTTTATCTCAACCTCAATTCAAACAAACTGTAATAATCCATCAAAATTTAATGAAATTCATTTGTAAGACAAATCTGAATGCTGCCTGGATAGTCTGATGTTAATAATAGATAAAAATCTGAAAGGCACAACTAATAGTATTAATGTTAAAATTCTTAATCTTTTTTAAGGCCTTTGAAAGATATATGGAAAGATTTAAAGATGAAATAACATACTTGCCTTAAAATAGTATGAGACAGAAAGTCCGGGGGTTTAGCGAAATAAGAACCATGAACAGGGGTTTATTGTACTTATTCTTCCTGCTTTCTTTTCTAGGTGTCATCTAATGCCCAGTCTTTTAAAATAATTTTTTGTTTAAAAACAGCATAGTCTTTAGCAGAGTTTTCTATAGTTTAATTTTAATTTCTACCACAAATCCAGGAGCTTGGGTAGTAAAAATACATTCTGATGCTAGTTCAAGACTCTGTGGAGCACTGGGAAGTTACTGAATAGCCCTGGGCTTGTGCTGGTCCCCAAGTGCACTCCTGCATGATCACAGCACCCCTGCCCCTCTCCTCCCTAGAATGGAGTGGTTGGCTCAACTGCACGCTGTATCACTCCCCTCAACTTCTGGTGTGCTCTAAAACAGCACACAGTTGTTTTCCCATATATATATACATATATATGTATATATATATATATACATACATACATATTTGGGGGGGGTACCAGAGATTGAACTCAGGATCTTGCACTTGCGAGGTAGAGAGGTAGACACGGTGCCACTGAGCTAAATCCCCAGCTCCCACAGCTACTCTTTTTTTTTTTTCTCATTGAGTTTATTGGTACGTTTTAGGTATACAGTACAGTTACATTCATTATTGGGACCAGAGCTACTCTTCACAGCGATAAATACTGGATGGATTCCAGCTACAATCTCAAAAAAATTTTTTTCCAAGTCAGGATCCCACTTTGTAGTTCAGACTGGCTTTAAACTTGCAGCAGTCCTCTCTCTGCCTCGGCTCCCCAGTACTGGGATTAGACAGGCATGCGCCACCCAGCCTCCAGCTGCCTTACATCTATAGCACAGTGGAAACCCAGACATAAGGCAGTTTATTCAATTCTTATTAAAGAATTAGCCAACTAAGAAAACATCTAAGTTTTTTTTTTTCCCTAAATGTACTTTTTAAAAACAAGTCAATTCACAAAATTTGTTATTATGGTTTCTTGTTTTTGTTCAAATAAGTTATACAAGCTATCACTTTCTCAGCAGCCAAGATGAAACAGAAAGTAAACTCCAAATGGGAAGCATTAAACATGGCACATTTTTTATTTTTGGCAAATAACTCACATCCCTTAAAAGGGGCATTTTGGGGGCCAGAGATTTAGCTCAGTGGTTCAGCTGCTTGCCTTGAAAGCATGAGGTCGCAAGTTCGATCCCCAGTATCAAAAAGAAAAAAAGAAAGGGAGGTGTGCATTTTAAAAATTCACTAACGTGGTTAAAACCTAAATTACCATACCACTTAGGAGCTTTTACATTTCAGCTTTTGTGGAAATGTCATATGATAGCCTAGTGAGTTTAATCTGCAAGTTTTCAGACAGGATGAATGATCCCCAAATCAAAGCAAGACTCATGTCAGATTGTCTATCATAAAACTGTGCCAATGATATTTATCTATATTACTGTTATGTATTAACACACACAAAAATGAAAACTTTCTAGTTCCTCCTACAAGCCATAGGGAAAAAAATTCTAATTTGCAATCCAGGAGGAGAGAGAAAAAGTGACTACAGCCCATTCTATACGTTTACAGACTAGTTTAGTTTTTATTACTGTTATTATTCTAACTAAACACATCTAGCTGTCCTCAGGCCCTCAAACTTTTCTTGCCTGCCACTAATCAATAAGCAATAATAAATTATTTACTAACAAAAAAAAATCACATTAATTCTGATGAAAACAACAAGCAAAGTACTTGGGAAAGGCCAAATCTGAGATAAGCTGCTTATCCAAGTCTTTTATTCCCAAACTGTCAACATACAGTTGCCAAAATGCAGCTTATCTCTATTTTCTAGTTATATGTAGGTGTATGCTTTGCTGGTTTTTAGCCTCCCTTTTAAAAAGTTTCAAGTGGCTTAACAAAATTTGGAAGCATTAATTCTTTCCCATCCTGAAGCTTAGATCTAAGAAATGAATTATTTCTTCTTAAACAAAATGTTATAAAATGAAAAAAAATATATCACAATTTTTTTACAACTTAGGTCTCATTAAGAAGGCTAGCTAGCCTTATCACATACATCCTAAGGCCAAAACAGAATCCAATGTTCAACAACTTCCAATTTCTACTTACCAATTTATCATTTTCATTCGGCATTTCAAATACACATCTCAATTTAGAATCCATTAATTCATCAGGTTTTGCCTCTTTCCACTAAAAGCAAACAAAACCAAATGTGAGACACAGGAGGCATGAGCATGGCAAACAGGTTTCGCCTAAAGGGACAAGTGAAACGTGAGTACAGCCACGTGGGACCCTGGGGAGGGTATGTGGCAGGCAAAAGTATACCGTGGCACTCCATGGTGGCTACCGTGCCACTGTCATCCACTAGTGCCACAGCACCCTTAGGAGACCCTATACCTTCTTATCAACATCTGATGAAATCATCACACTGACAGCCCACAGGTTTTTTTCTTACATTTTAAAAACCGAGTTCTGTTAAAGAGTTAAACAAAACCCCCACTTGAAACTATATTCCCCAAAATGAAATCTGTTCAACTTCTACACTTACCACCGCTTCCATATCCGAAGTGTTTGGTGGAGCAAAAATTGTCTGTACCATAAACTTGTGTTTGCTCTTTTCATTTGGATCATAGTCAAAGGGCTGTAACATTACTGAGTAAGAAGAAAGGACATGTTATATTGTCATCTGCATGTTTATCATTCCCATTAACTAACACACAGGTTTTTAAAAACCAAGATGAGTTCCAGATACCACATACTGCATTATGTACACTAATGTTCTAGAATCAACTTTATAATTCCTATTATTTTAAATCATTCACTTCTCTGACTTACTAAGTCTTTTAACAATCCACAAATTAACATATGGGAACTTAAAAATAAATACGAATCTATAACTGCCTCCTCTAAACTTAGTTTGTGATAATTTTCACACCTTTGCCAATACTGACTCCGTCTGTAATCGCAGATTAAATCCAATAAATTGTTTATTAAAAACAACTAACAAAACGAATTTATGGCCTTTAGTACCTAATGATAATTTTAACTTAGACAACTCAAGTACTTACAGGAGAAATACTTATGACTTTAAGAGCCCACTGTCATATTATATTTTTTTCTAAAATGGATTTAAATAAACTACTCAGGAAGAATTTACCTGTTTAAATTTAGTCTAAGAAAAAAGCATCTAAGAAAATCACATAACCTTTCAATATGTAGAATTTAGAATCCAAATAATTTTTTCTAAGGATGTAAGAATTTCAGCCTCTAAGGGGCTTTATTATAGAGTTCAATGTGGTAATAAGTATTGCTAAATTTATGGACAAATCTAAGGAATAAACTAAGAATTATTAAATTTATGCATATAGTATAGAAATTATTTCCCTACTAACACTCAATTATCTCTGAATCAGTCAACACTTTCAAAAAAAAACAAATGCTATTAAGCAAGTGCAAGAAATATCGATTACTCAAGAAAATCTCTGTGAGTTGCATTGGACAAGTCTATTAAGCACTTAGCAACCTACCCCGCGCATCACTTGGGCAGGAGTCATTTCAACCAAATGATTCTTGTATTGAACAAATTTGGTAAAATTGCTATTTTTATATTTCTGGTTATATTTATGCTATAAAAACTAACAAAAGTGCAATTTTTTGGTCATCCTATAAACATCTGGACTGCTAAGTGGATAACTCCCTCTTCATTAAAAAATATTTCAAACGGTCAAATATATATAGCAGCAGAAAATACACAGGATAAAGGCCTCCAGATAAATATAAAGCATAACACAATTCCATTAACACCTTTCACTGAGCGACTGCTACAGGCTCATCACCATGAAACTAAAATTTATAAGACACACAAAAAAAAGACAAAACCAGGCAAGGTAGTGCACGCCCACAATCCCAACTACTCCAAAGGTCAAGGCAGGACAACCACAAACTTGAGGCCAGCCTAGGCAACTTAGCCAGACCTATCTCAAAATCAAAAAGTTTAAAAACACTCGTGTACAGCTTAGTGGCAAAGCACCCATGGAGAGGATGAATCCATGAGTGTTCCTGCTCCCTAAGTTATTACAACACAGTGGGAGCTGAGAAGGACTGCTATGAAGAGAGATTCTCCTAGAAGCCACTCGCATCCTCATACTAGCTTCCTACCTCTCAGCTATATCAAAAGACTGCCAAGGGGTATGCTCTTGAAAAGCCTAAGGGCTGGGCTGTCAAGAGGAAGAAAAGGAAGCTACTGACACCAGCACAGATTTTACTGCAAGAATAAATGATCTGTATCTGGCAGGAAGCAAGCATACCTTCAACTACAGTGTAAGTAAATACATAGGGAATAATAAAAATAAAGGTTTTCCTGGGCATGGTGGCCCATGACTGCAATCCCAATACTGTGGGATGTTAAGGCAGGGGAATCTCCAGTTTGTGCCCAACCTGGATAACTTAACAAATAAACAAGAGTTTTAAAATAAATATAAATAAAAAGATTGGGTATGCAGCTCAGTTCAATCTCCAGTACCATTTTTTTAAAGTTTTCAAGTGCAAGACACTGGGCATTTATAGTAACAGGCATCAAGATGCATTTGCTTTGATACAACAAGCAAAAAGCAGCACACTTTTGTAAGCAAAAGAATTAGAACCTAGGAAAAAAACTTCTCAAATTGCATGTAATACACAACAGATCTAAACCTAAAAACAGTATTGTCAAAGGTAAGATAATAAGGCAGAGTATGTAATGAGCTGTAAGAAGAAATAGATACAAAGTTTTAAATTAACAAAATTATTTACACCTCCAACACACACATGAGGGTGAGAAATTTTCTCTTAATTGTGCACATTACAGTAAGATAGCATAAGGACATCTTTAAAGGTGAAGCCAGAATAAAAGCATTCCCTTCCCTCCAGATGAAAAACACCATTACACAAACCAAATTAAACACAGTCATAAAACGTCAAAATTCAAATTGTGTGAGTTCAGAACATGATTCCCTACCTGAAACGGTGACCGTTGATCCTGGGTCAATAATTCCACTGTTGGGCCTCACACAGTACCGACGAGGTGCTGTAGTCTTCACTTTGAAACACACTTTTCTGTCTGATGGATTTCGCAATTTAAGATTTGTAGTGACTACATCTGTGAAGGGGCCTGTGAGTTTTAAAAACAAGAGAAGAACAATTAACTGGAGTCACAAAAACAAAAGCAGAATTCAAAATTATATAAATGTAGCCACAATTTTATTAATGTACTGAAGTCTGCACACATATAAATATTACCAAATGGCCAACAGTGGTAAAATTTCTTTTGTCAGGGGGCAGACTTATAAATGAGGTATACTGACTTTTCAGTTTTCATTCCTGACCATCATTTACAAAATCTCCACGGTAAACATTAGTCCCACTTCTTAAAAAAGTATTTTGGAAGTTTCAATCTAAGAAGTCAGTCTCTACAATTGTTATTCTTACAGTAAATTCTGACCACATTACTGAAAATACCAGAATTCTCCAATGTTCTTCAAACCAGTGTCAAAAACCTCTCTACTGAAACTACTCCGCAGAGCAGCAGTGCTCCTGTTTAGGCTTCAGAGACCTACTCACTCGTTCATCCACTCAGACTATATGGTGGATATGGGTTGTGTGTACTGTGGTTACATACTATAGATAAGGTTTTTAAGCTTTTAGTCTTTGGTTCTGTACCCAAACATAAAATTATAAACAATCCAAAACACTGGTGCAGCTCTATCTGAATTAACCAGTATATCCTCCCTCATTTTTTAAGAGAGATGTGAAGATTACAGCCATTTTGCTCTTGGCTAAAGAAAAGCCTAAGGATAGAATTATGCCAGTATAATTTTAAAATGAACTTACTTTAGAGGTAGGAGATAAAAATTTGTCCAGATAGGAAGCAAAACCCCCACTATTAATTATTCCAAAAACAATTTTAGATGATTTCATGTTTTTCAGGGGGTGGGGTGGTAGAGTTCTTGTCTAGCATGCCAAGGCTCTGGGTTTGAGTCTCAGTACTGCAAAAAACTAAAGAGCTGAAGGATTGAAAATAAAAGATACCTACTATAAATTTTTTTAAATAAATATTAAACAAGAATGTCTTTTAAAGCTTTAAGATATTCATATTATGTTAAGTCCAGACTGAAAACTTGTCCAACTATGCTAGTTTCTATTTTGTTTAATCCTAGAAAGTTGGCTAGGACAAAAACCAAAAGACACAAAAAGAAGAGGAAGGTTGCAGGAGATGGAAACAATTTGCCTAATGCAATAGGAGAGAAAGAAACTGACTTCAGAAAGTCAGTTAAAAGGCTCTTGCTTCAAGTCCTAAAGTGTATCATGCCTCTCCTGAACAAAGAGGTTTTAAAAAGACCTGATGAAATCTTCCAGTAGAGATCCTCAGAAAAGACAAGTTACATATGAACAGCACTGTGAACATAATCCTTTACACAAGAATATTTTTGTGTGGCACTAGGACAGGTTGAGGTGGAGATGAGATGCACAGACACAACAGATAGCAGACATTCTACACCACCAGCATATCCCATACAATACTATGCCTCCATCCCACTGAATTTTCAAATACACCTCTTCCTATAGTTTGGATCTTGAATATCCTCAAAGGTCCAATGTTTAAAAAGTCTTGGTCCAGATGGGCATGGTAGCACACGCCTGTAATCTAAACACTCAGGAGGCTGAAGCAGGAGGATCACTGTGAGTTCAAGACCAGCCTGGGCTACATAGTGAGTTCTAGGTCAGTGTCAATGATATAGTGAGACCCTGTCTCAAAACACCTACAGAAATAAATAAAGTCTTGGTCCCCAAACTGGCACTACTGGGAAGTGATGGTAACTTTAAAAGGTAGAAGGGGTCGGGGATTTCGCTCAGAGGTTCTACCACCTGCCTCGCAAACACAAGGTCCCAAGTTTGATCCCCAGTACCAAAAAGAAAAAAAAAAAAAAAAAAAAAAAAAGCAGAGGTACAGCTGGTGGAAGTCTTAGATCCCAAGCCCTCTGGCTCTTTTCTGCTTGGCCAAGCAACTGTGGACTGAAACCTCCAAAACTGTGAGCCAAAATAAATCTTTTTTTTTTTTTCTCAGATGTTACTTTGACAGAAAGCTGACCAATACACTTCTAAAAACTCCTACTAGTAAAAAATTTTTAAAATTCTTTTTCAGGAATACACCTATTCCATAAAACAAAGTTTTGCTCTTTCTTTGTAACTTTGAAAAGCTAAGTTCACCACTGCAGAAAATTATTCTACTAAGTGATTACTGTAAGTCAGATTATGGTGAACTATGCAGCAAGATGAGAAGACAGTTGGGAGAAGCCCTACGAGGGGTTTTCTGGAATGCTGGCCTTATCTATTTCTGCCCTAAATGGTGATTGCTTGGGTATTTTTTGATAATTTGTACATATTTAAAATAAAAAGATTTTTAAGAAAAGATTCTTGATGTAACCTTAAAAAAACTTTTAGTGAGAAATATCCTTACAAATGAGGTAAAACCAGTCATTTGCCTAGTATGAATGCTTTTATGCTTTATGCATAAATGCTTTCACATTTATGAAATGATTACTGAAACAGTGGATTTTAAGATCACCTGACAGTAAAGTATATTAGTCACCAATCAATGGTATGTATTGGTTGACATACTTCCTCTGTTGAAAGTGAAATGTCCTTCTTCATGATGCAATCATATTCCACATAAACCTGCACACAATACAGGTTTCCCTAACTTGCACTTTTATTGGAAAAATTTACAATTAAAAAACCCTACCTTTTAATTATACAGGTTTTCCTTTTTTAAGCAGGCAAATTTTCTAACACTAATACTCTTGATTAAATTACTCTACAACTCTCAATGCCATTAAGCCAAAATCTTGCTATGGAATCCAAATTCTCACAAACAAAAAGAAATTTAACATATACACGTATGAATAAAAATGTTTGGCTATAATTTTGAAAAAAGATGGAATCTGAGATGTTACACATTCACCCTTTCCTTACTAAAAGATGAAGACTTGCTTCTGTGCTCCAACACGTAAATAATGCAGCTGTATCAATGCAGGTGAAAACTATTTCAGCCTGTTTCCACAGGGTTTGGCAAATTAAGCACGTATCATTGACTAGCTTCTAGGTTACATAAGGCTTATACTTCTGAACATGTGTCAAGTTATCTTTGAAACATATTCTGTAGAATACACTGACTATGGACTAAGAACTCCCACAGCAGCAGGAGCAATGGCAATAGCAGTAGTACAAGTCTCTGCAATAACTCACATTTACTGGGCACACATCAGGCTTGGTTGTTTTAACCCCTGTAACAAGTCCAAGAAGTACTTTTACTACTCATTATTCCCATTTCACAGATGATGCAGCTCAGAGAAAGTGAACACTAGTCCAAGCTCATACAACTACAAAGCAATGAAGTGGTAAATCAACCTGGTCTGACTCCAAGCCCTGAATCTCATAAATTCTGTAAGCAGGACCTTGCTATACACTTAATTTCTAATTCATATGCATGGCGCCTAGATCTGTGAAGCATGAAAGTGCAAAACATTTCCTGAAGTACCAAACACAGAAAATATTCTAAACACTTTACATCCAAGAAAGCTCTAAAACATTTTCCCACAAAAAATGGAGTCATCTGATTTACTTTTTCTGCAACACCCTGAAATCAAAGAGCCAATGTAAGCAGGCCCTGTGAAGAGATCTTTTGTCTTGTTCACTGTTGCGCCCAAGCTACAACCAAGCTCGGGACAGCAGGTTACCAAGAGATATTATTGTATAAATATTGTTAGACAAATAAACAGACTGCAACTTTCTGAAAAAGTCATGAGTTCCATTTCTATTCAAAAAGACCTAGTTACTAATGTACTAAAATAATCTATAAAATTTCATTGACATAATTACAAAACTGTGGATCCTGATAGTAATGCAAAAGCAATACTTCACTAAGCCTATAATACTTTAAAACCTTACTTAAACTGCTCACTGCCTTTGTTATTAATACTGTATTATATTTTCAATAAAGTGTCATGACGTATTATGGGAAAAAATTCTGAAATCCACTTAATACAGAAAAGTATGGTGATTTAAAAATAGTAAGTTTTCCTACTCTATGGACCTATAGAAGTCATAGCTAAAAGTTAAATAGGCAAGGACTGTATCTTTCATTTCTTCTGAACCACTTTATATAGTGCAATAACGTTCTGGGCATATAAATATAAATATAGTCCATCAACTTCACATTAAAAGAAACTACATAAAAGTTAGAAAAATTGCTTCATTCCTTTGAAAAACCTTTTGGGATAAGGAGAGGCAAGTTTCTGTTACTGATGTACTATGACTTTTTTTTAAATGCAAATGTAGTGTGCTGAATGCGAGGGTTAAACTCCCAAACAAGATGACTGACCTGGGAAACTCAACCTCTCCGACTCAGTCTCATCCCTTCCATTTTAGAATGGCAAATGCTCTCTAAGGATCCTCCCAGTTCTAAAATTATGTGACATTAGGAATAATTTTACTTACTGCCTTAAAGAATGTCTTCTACCCAGTGGTAAAGACAGGAGAAGGTAACTCAACCCTCAGGCACCATGGTCTTACTGACATTTTGTCTAAAATTATTTTAAACATCTTGAGCATGCTTTTGAGGCATCTGGATACACAACACTATTCACGCTGATCTAAACAATCTTAAGTGACACAATCTTGAAAATAAAGGGAGATAAACTGTCTTTACACAGAAGGGGAGAATTTTATTTTCAACATTTTAATCTCAATTGATAAATCCTTCCATTCTGTAGCCTTCTAAATAAAATTATATGCATATACACAAGTACATGAAAAACAATGTATGTGTTCAAGACAATATGAAATGTGAATGTTACCTAACTGCCTCTATTAAAACAAATAGGTGGTCCATATTTAAAGTTTAACTGCTATAATGTAGACAGCATATAAGGAAATACAACAAAATGGACATTTTGGGAGAACTTGAACTGAACATTTTTCATACTATCTATAAAACTAAAGCTACTGCTAAAGGCAAATAAGAAAATGATCATAATAGTCAACAAAAAGTACAGAATATATACACCTTGCACGGCAAACATAAAAATACACAAAAATGTTAACAGTGACTTT